GCTCCTGTTTTCTTGAGTATTTTTTAGTAGTTGAAATTTGAACAAGTTTCTGCTAAAAATAACTTTTTACCTGGGTTATGTCCACTTCGTGTTTGCTTCCCTCTCAAGAACATCAAATCTCCTTTTTTTTCTTTCCCTTTTCATGTTGATCTTATTTGATGCAGCTGCGACAGTAGTGGAGACCATGTTGAAAAGGACCTCTATGAAATGGATGTTGAAGTGGACAATGGGAGTGATGATCTGCGTGGAGCTTACCATGTCAAACTTTCAACAGTCCAAAAGGGAGTCTTAAGAACGAATTGTATAGACTGTTTGGATCGCACAAATGTTGGCCAGTATGCATATGGGCTGGTCGCACTGGCCCATCAGCTGCATGCCTTAGGCTTTATAGATGTGGAGAACATTGATTCGCATTCTCCTATAGCACATGACCTAATGAGGATCTACGAAGAAATGGGAGACACTCTTGCACTACAATATGGTGGCTCTGCTGCACATAACAAGGTAGTCTATCTTTGCTATTTACGAGAAATTCTGCAATTTTCTTGTGCAGGCTTCTGATGAAAACTATAGTAATGAGTTGGTTCCGTGGAAGTAGATCTTTCACTCCATTTAAGTTCATGACGCACTTCTTATAAGATATCTACATGTTAGTGGATGCGATGGCGGGCAAATATTTTTTTTATAACTGAGAAATCCCATAGGGCTAGTGGTTCACGGTTCAGTTTTTGATGCTCCAATTTTTTGCTTGTGACTAGACATTAGCATACTGTTTCACTACTGAAGCGTAGCTTCTTCTTCATTTATCAAATTCTCACTGTTACCATCTAACGTAGTGATGAATATGGAACCCAAACAGATTTTTTCAGAAATACGAGGCCAATGGAAAGCAACAACGACGTCTCAAGAGTTCTTCCGATCGCTTCAGCGCTACTACAGCAATGCCTACATGGACCCTGAGAAACAAGATGCCATTAATGTGTATGTGAATACTTTCTATCACACTAAGTTCCATGAGGCTGTTATTCCAAAAAAAATACGGGCAATTTTGAAAAAATTATGAGTAATGTGGTGCCATTTCCAGGTTCTTGGGCCATTTCCAGCCACAAGAGGGAAAGCCATCTCTGTGGGAACTGAATCCAGAACAGCACTATGATGTTAGGATGCACGGATCAAGTCTAACCGCAGAAAGTTCTAGGTATGCATGATCCTTTTCTATGAGTGCGTTCTCAACTTGCTTCCTTTATATAGGTTCTGTTTGTACTACATAATTTTTTCATTTTCTGACGATTGAATAATTAAAAATTGTTATTGAACTGTTTAAGTTGTGCTCTCGGTAATTTCTGACACAGCATTATACTCTGTTCAATGAGGTTGACTTCCCGACTACAAAGATGAAAAGATGTATATTTTTATAAAATAGGAGAACGTATTGTGGGGCCATTAGTTGGCCTTTTTTGGGGGGTCAGATCAGAGAAGTAGATGTGTATAGAAGCTTACAGGTTGGGTCTAAAATGGCCTTTTGGTTTGTGCAACATGTGATAAATTCCTGAAATTAATTCAAAATTTGGGACGGGAGAACCGATGCTTAAATTTATCTGACAGCAAGTGTGTCAGGTGCCCATGTTTGAGAAGATCTGCCACTTCCAGGCGGAGAGCGCTGCAGTTAGTTGTGCCATGGCCGGTGTCACGGTGGATAGCACAATCTTGCTGTTGTCACACTGTTCCAGGCCGTGGCTTGTTTCTGTCTTCCAAATTGCTTTTACTAAAGGTTTAAACATTGTAAAACCAATATTTGGGTTTTATAATATCATGCTGATCCATGAGATTTCACTGTTTTTATGTCCATCTTCACTGTCCGCCTGCGTTGTAACCATCTCACTGATATGAAGGTTAAAGATGATTCTGATTTACGTGCCCATCGCAAATTTAAAAAGAGGAGAACGTACCTCCTAAATCTGATTAGTATTTCAAGTTAATCTGCTGTTCTGATCAAGTATCCAGAACAGGAAGATACTTTTGCTGTTTGCCAGACAATTGTATCAAAGCTGTTAGCAAAGCAGTTTGTTAATACGCAGGTCATTTATTAAAAGGTCGCTATCAGAAGGAAACATAAGCTGTGGAAGCAGCTCTCATGGTAAAGACACCGACATAGATCAGACTGAAGACACTCACCAGCCTTTGACTGTCTGTGGCAAAGGTGGTTGTAAGGGTATTTCAGAGTCCACACCAGAAATATCTACACGTGACACTGATATTTCGTTTACCAGGTAGCTCGGTTTAGATTTCTATGCTTCATAAATTCATTTGGAGCAGTAACACACTCAGGTGATTCATGATGTCGTCGGATATTTCTTTGTCGAGTGGCCGCTAACTGCTACTTGCGGTACAAAAACATCTCCCTCATGGTTCCTTCATGCTTCCATGGACCAATGCATTGGACGTTTGAATGATTTTAAATGCTCCTTGTATTGTTGCATGTATATTTTAACAAAGATAATGCATATGTGTCTTTATGAAATATTTTTAATGGCTACATATGCTTATATAGGGTTTGTGATTGACATTACTGACCAACCCTTATCACTCCTCAAATCCTTATGGCAATATGTGCAGAGAATGTATGATATCTTACTGAACTTACCTTATAACAGTTAACCTCATGGCTGTATGTGAAGTTAAGGTATCAACATATTGCAGCTTGAAAAGTTCTGTTTGCTCAAAGATTTCGGAATGTGTAACCGGGGTCTTAGCCAGTCATGTTTTAAGTTTTTCTTCTTTTATTGGGGTTGAGGTGATGCTATTCGGAAGAAATTCCTGCTTTATTTTGTTCTATTTCACTTGATATGGCTCATCACAATTGGTGCGCTTTCTTCTTGTGATAGGTACACCCCCTCAATGTCTGGTGGACAGCTTTTCCATGATATGCAGTTAGAGCAGTGTCTCGGAAGTGGCAGCGTTAAATTTCATGAGTGTGCAGATTTGTTTGATACCTCAAATTTTCTTGATGTTGATTGGCTTTCTTCGTCGGGAAATTCATGTGAAGAAGAAACATATGAGAGGTATACTTCGTATATCTTGACCAATGCATAAATAGGTGTCTTAACCAGTGCTTAAGGTGCAGAATAAGGGATGGAATACTTGTCCCGGAACAAAACCAAAAATAATAATAATAATAATAATAATAATAAGAGGGGGGGTTTTGGG